AGTTTTAAGAAAAGCTAGTTCAAGACCTTCGCGGATTTACAAATATTCAGGATCATTCTCGATCTCAGTACCCACGAACATGATATTGGTATCCTACCCAACGAACAAACTTAAAATCGCGCATTGCTTGAAGAAGCTCTAAAAATTACATAATTTTCTACTCTTTGGTTTCCTATGCCTGTACTGTACAGGGATTCCAAAAAAAAAGAGTCGTTACCCTCGGATAATAGGCATTCACTTACCTACACCTACCTTGCACCACGCTTAATAATCAGCACTTGCTCTGTTTTGTTTGTTGGTGCTATCATTCTAGATACAAAAATAGCAGTTTCACGAACAATTCGTTTTTTTTTTTCTGTTGAGACGATTGCAGTTTGCAATTGTGCCGAAGCCTGTATTGTAGTTATTCGTACATGCACCTACCCTGACACCTTGAAGACAAACTGGAAATTTAGCGGTTCAGAGCCCTTTTTATGAGTGATGTATTGACTGGATGGTGCACTCAATATTTTAATCTTCTGTTTTTTATCATTTTGTTATGAGGGATATGAGTTTCCAAGAATTCTTTGCGCAACATTCGATAACTAGGGCTGAGGCGGAGGACGGAAGCATTATTGGCAAGAACCTTGTAAGCTCTCCTCAAATCGCCTTGGGGCTTGGGTTAAATCACGAAAAGGATAATCAGATTTCGGAATATCAAGGTCTAAAGTAAAAATATTAAATATTTGTTGCTTAGCTCCTTTCCACTGTTTTACTAAAGGAGCCGAAAAGTTTCTAGGACGTTTCCAACTGCGCGTTGTATTCGCACATATTCTGGATAAGCAGCAGAATAAGCTCCAGCGAGATGATGATGTCTATAACGAGCGCCGGGTACAGCCAGCGTTTACCAAGCTGCCCGCGGTTCAAGCGTCTCTAGCGCTTCTTCACGCGCCAGTTCTTCTATTGCAGCACGCACACGCATGTTTTCAACTGAACAATAGCGCGGGCCTTAGTCCTGCTGCGCACTAAGAAGCTTTGAAATTTCGACGATGGCATGTTAACCAAAAACTTTAAAACTGCCAAAATATTGCAGGGAGTTGAGATCGATGGAAGAATGGTGGTGGTACAGCCCTGGTACAAAAATGATGGGGTAGGATAGACGTGAAAGGACGTGAAAGCATGACGGATGTTTCTGAATACAAATTTCCAGCCTGCTGGGGCATCACTTAGTAAATGCGACAACAAGTACGAGTGTTGGTCGTGTTCCAAGAATGC